CGTATTACGGAACGTATGCTGGCCTGACGCCGTATGCTGGCCTGACGCCGTATGCTGGCCTGACGCCGTATGCTGGCCTGACGCCGTATGCTGAGCTGACAGAACACCCGACTGGAGCCGTCCCACCTGGACTACTTTCTTGTGATTGGCTTATACAGGGAGCTCTGTGATTGGTTGCAAACCATCCCCTGTATAAACAATGTATTAATGTATGGAGGAACGATAAATCCACACAATGCAGAGAAGTTTAATTTCTAATTGTTTATGGAGCAGAAATACTTTGGTGAATCATGTGCTGCGTGCGGATCGGTTCCTCTGCATCTATGAATCACATGTGACCCGTTCAGTCCACGCACCTGATGTCATGATTGGCCAGATCAGTGATGAAGGCGGTCTCAGCAGGCGTGAGGAAGAGGAGGCTGCTTCCTCCTCCTCCGATGCGGGCCGTGCGGCCCACGCGGTGAACGTACTCAGCAGCTGACGATGGAGGCGTGTACTGAAGCACAAACAGACCGATTACCTTAAAGCTGGTTCTGGTTCTGGACGGATCAGAACATCCTGGCCGCAGCTCGTCTTTACCTGAACGATCCAGGTGACCTCAGGAAGGTCCAACCCTCTGGCCGCTACATCCTGGATCAGACGGAGGGAGAGAGGTGAGCCACTCTAATCAGACACCTGAGCTCTGAAGGTTCTGAACCCGGCAGCCGGGCCCCCTGCTGGTCGAACCGAGGTACTGACCGTGCACAGCAGAACTCCGGAACTGGAAGCGCAGAACTTCTGAAACACCTCGGATCGCTCCTGCAGAGGCAGAACACAGAGTCAGACCCGCCCAGAGGGGTGGAGCTGCTGCCTGCGGCGGGCGGGGGGAATCTAACCTCCTGTTTCATGTTTCCATGGAGACGCAGGAAGCTCAGCTCCTGATTGGCCAGGTGGCGGGCCAGGGCGGAGCTGAGGAGCAGGTGGAGGAAGTGGACGACCTCGCAGCTCGACACGAATACCATGACTTTATTCTGGGGAGAAAACTGAGAGAGCAGGAGGTCAGGTCTCCATGGCAACGCCTCCGTCATGCCCCACCTACAGGGCTCCGGCGGTCTCCATGGTAACGGTGTGGTCACCTTGCATTTGTCCAGGATGAAGGCAGCCAGGCAGACCAGTCGGACCTTACTGGGAACCACCACCACAAACTGCTGCAGAGCCTCCGGAACGGCGAAGCTCTCCGATTGGCCGGCGACGGCGGGCTCAGCGGTGAGGTCAGAGGAGGCGGGGCCAGAAACACTGACACTGATCGGATCCTTGAGGCACACGTCTGCCAACCGGGTTACGCCTGAAACAGGAAGTTCTTAGGTTGAGAGCCGGGTCAGCGGCGCCGAGGGGCGGGGCAGAACCGGACTGACCTGGGGTCAGCGTGGCGGACAGCAGAACGTTCTGCCGGGCCGGGCCGCTGGAGTTCAGGCTGTTCAGGATGACCGTCAGGTCCTTCTCAAAGCCCAGATCCAGGATCCTGCAGGCGGAGAGAAGAACCGGTTCTGAGCTCACCTAACGGGTCAGAACCTGACCCAGAAGAGGAGCTGTGACCCACCTGTCGGCCTCGTCCAGAACCAGCCAGCGCACGGCGCTGAAGGCCATGCTCAGGGTGTGGCGCAGGTGGTCCACCAGGCGTCCCGGAGTGGACACCAGGATGTTGATCCCTTTACGGATCCTGAGGAGGAGAACGGGTCAGAACCTGGGCTGCTCTGGACCGGGTCAGACCAGTCAGAACCTGCTGGTACCTGGCCTTCTCCGCCTTCCTCTTCTCTCCGCCCATCAGAACCCCCGGAACCACCCAGGTGAACGGCTGCAGACAGAAAGGGAGCGGCTCAGAGACCAGAACCACAGGAAGAACCAACCGGACCCAGAAACCCTCCACAGGTTCTACCAGTGAGACCTCAGAGGACGGACAGGTCGACTGGACAGAACCACCTGCCCCTCCCCAACATGTTGCTGGATAAAAAACAACAACATCACCAGAACCGTCCAGAACTGGGAACGGCTCCGGTGAGGTCCAAACTTGGTTCTGGTACCTTGAGAAGCTTCTGAAAGGTCTGGAAGGTTTGCAGAGCGAGCTGGGAAAGAAGAAGCAGAACCGGGTCAGAACCAGAACCATAGGAAGCAGGAGGCAGCGTGTTTGAAGGACGGAACCTCTCGGGTCGGAACGATGATGACGGCCAGCGGCCCGTCGGACCTGCGGACCTTCGGCTCCACGGCCTGAAGACTTTGGACCAGCGGCACCGCGTAGCACAGCGTCTTCCCTGCAGGCGAGCCAGACATGGTCAGTGGGGAAGAACCTGAGAACCCAGCCCGGTTCTGATCCGCTGCAGGTCACACTCACCTGAACCGGTCTGGGACCGGACCACGGCATCCCGTCCGGACAGGAGGGCTGGGATGGTCTGCTGCTGGACGCTGCGGACAGAGAACCGACCCGGTTAGCGCCGGGCAGCGGGCCAGAACCTACCGCCACCTGATCTGGACTCACCTGGTCAGTCTGGAAACATTCAGGACCTTGGTGAGAGTCGCCACCTGGAGGACAAAGACAGCGAGTCAGAGCCGCCATGTTTGGACCCAGAGAACCCGTCAGAACCGGTCCTGCATGAAGGTTCTTCTCAGAACAACCCGGCTTCATTCAATGGAACAAAAACCTGGTTCTGTTTCAGTTTACGCCTCGGTTCTGAAGAACCTTCATGCTGGATCTACTGGGAACACTGGGCAGCTAACGGGCAGAACCCTGATGGTGCTGGACCCGGTCCAGAGGGCCCAGGGGACCTGCAGGTCCAGGGGTCCTGCTGGGCCCAGGGGTCCGGTGGGGACCAGAGGTCCTGCGGGGCCCAGGGGTCCAGTGGGGCCCAGGGGTCCAGTGGGGCCCAGGGGTCCTGCAGGTCCAGGG